CCCCCATTTCCCCCATTTCCCCCATTTCCCCCATTTCCCCCCATTTCCCCCATTTCCCCCTTTTCCCCCTTTTCCCCCTTTTCCCCTTTTCCCCTTTTTCCCCTTTTTTCCCCTTTTTCCCCTTTTTGCCCCTTTTTGCCCCTTTTTGCCCCCTTTTTCCCCTTTTTCCCCTTTTTCCCTTTTTTTCCCTTTCTCCCCTCTTTGTTCCATTTCCCCCTTTCCCCCTTTTCCCCTTTCCCTTTTCCTCTTCCCCCCTTCATTGTATTCCCTCTTTATCCCCCTTTGTTCCATTTTCTCCTGTTCTCCCTTTCCCCTCTCTTCCTCCTCTTTTCTCCTTCCTTTCTTCCCTTTTTCCCCTTTTTTCCTCCTTTTCTCCCTTTTTCTCCCCCCTTTCCCCCCTGTTCCCCCCTTCCTTTCCCCTTCCTTTTTTCCCTTTTTTCCCTTCTTTCCCTTTTTTCCCTTTTTCCTCTTTCCCTGCTTTGTTCCATTTCCCCCTTTTCTCCCTTTCCCCCTTTTTCCCCTTTTCTCCTTCCTTTTTCCTTCTTTTCCCCTTTTTACCTTTCCCTCTTCCCCCCTTCATTTTGTTCCCTCTTTTCCCGGTTTGTTCCGTTTTCTCCTTTTCTCCCTTTCCCTCCTCTTCCTCCTTTTTTTCTCCTTTCTTTTCCCCATTTATCCTCTTTTCCCTCTTTGTTCCTTTTCCCCTTTTCCCCTTCCTTTTCCCCTTCTTTCCCCTTTTTCCCCTTCCCTTTTCCTCTTTCCCCCCCTTCATTTTGTTCTCTCTTTTTCCCTCTTTATCCCCCTTTGTTCCGTTTCTCCTTTTCTCCCTTTCCCCCTTTTTCCCCTTTTCTCCTTCCTTGTTCCCTTTTTCTCCTTTTCCCCCCTTCCTTTCCCCCTTCTTTTCCCCTTCTGTTCCCCTTTTTTCCCTTTTTTCCCTTTTTCCCTTTATTCCTATTTTGTCGCCTTTTCTTCTCTTTTTTCCCTTTCCCCCCTTTTCACTTTTTTCCCTTTTTCCCCTCTTTGTTCCATTTCCCCCTTTTCTCCCTTTCCCCCTTTCCCCCCCTTTCCCCCCCTTTCCCTCATTTTTCTCCCTTTTTCCTCCTTTTTATCCCCTTCCTCCCCATTTTCCCCTTTTCTCCCCTTTTCTCCCCTTTTTTCTCCTTCCTTTTCCCTCATTTTTTCCCCGCTTTCCCCTTCTCCTCCCCTTTTTCCCCCCACTTTTTCCCCCCTTTTCCCCCTTTTTCCCCTTTTTCCCCCTTTTTCCCCTTTTTTCCCCTTTTTCCCCCTTTTTTCCCTTTTTTCCCCTTTTTCCCCTTTTTCCCCTTTTTTCCCCTTTTTTCCCCTTTTCCCCCTTTTCCCCTTTCCCCCTTTTTCACCCTTTTTCCCCCTTTCCCCCCTTTTTCCCCTTTCTTCCCCTTTTCCCCCCTTTTCCCCCTTTCTTCCCCTTTTCCCCCCTTTTCCCCCTTTCTTCCCCTTTTCCCCCCTTTTTCCTCCCTTTCACCCCTTTTTATCCCCCTTTCTCCCCTTTTTTCCCCTTTTTCCCCCTTTTCCCTCCCCCCTTTCCCTCCTTTTTCCCTCCTTTTCCCCCTTTTCTCCCCTTTTCTCCCCTTTTTTCCCCTTTTTTCCCCTTTTTCCCCTTTTTCCCCTTTTTCCCCTTTTCTCCCCCTTTTCTCCCCCTTTTCTCCCCCTTTTTCCCCCTTTTTTCCCTTTTCCCCCCTTTTCCCCCCTTTTCCCCCCTTTTCCCCCCTTTTTCCCCTTTTTCCCCCCCTTTTCCCCCCTTTTCCCCCCTTTTTCCCCTTTTTCCTCCCTTTTTCCCCATCCTTCCCCTTTTTCCCCCTTTTCCCCCCTTTTTCCTCCCTTTCACCCCTTTTTATCCCCCTTTCTCCCCTTTTTTTCCCCTTTTTCCCCCTTTTCCCTCCCCCCTTTCCCTCCTTTTCCCCTCCTTTCCCCCTTTTCCCCCCACTTATTCCACCCTTTCCCCCCTTTCTCCCCTTTTTCCTTTTACCCCTTTTTTCCGCTTTTCCCCCACTTTTTCCCCTTTTCTTCCCCTTTTCCCCCCTTCCCCCCTCCTTTTTCCCCCCTTTCCCCCTTTTCTCCCCTTTTCCCCCTTTTTCCCCCTTTTCCCTCCACTTATTCCCCCCTTTTCTCCCCCCTTTCCCCTTTTCTCCCCTTTTCCCCCCTTTTCTCCCCTTTTCTCCTTCCTTTTCCCCCTTTTTCCCCCCTTTTCCCCCTTCCCCCCCTTTTCCCCCCCTTTCCCCTTTTCCCCCCCTTTCCCCCTTTCCCCCTGTTCCCCCATTACCCCCTGCTGTTCTCCCCTCAGGTGGACGCTGCCTCTCTGCGCTCTCACCTGGTGCACCTGGGGAACCTCCCAGCCCAGGGCTACCGGGAGCTGGAGCTGGTGTGCGCGGGGCTGCGCTTCGGCAAGGTGGAGCACTACGCCGTGCTCAGCAACCGCCGCCGGGTACGGCACGGGGAAACACGGGGGAAAATGGGCAAAACATGGGGGTTTGGGGGAGATTTTGGGGGATTTGTGGCAGAGGGGTTCCAGGAATTGGAGCTGGGTTGTGCTTGGCAAGGTGGAGCACTACGCCGTGCTCAGCAACCGCCGCCGGGTACGGCACGGGGAAACACGGGGGAAAACAGGGGCAAAACACGGGCAAAACATGGGCAAAACATGGGCCAAAATGGGCAAAACATGGGGGTTTTGGGGAGATTTGGGGGCTTTTTGGCACGGGGGTTCCAGGAATTGGAGCTGGGTTGTGCAAGGTGGAGCACTGCGCCGTGCTCAGCAACCGCTGCCGGGTATGGCACGGGGGAAACACGGGCAAAACATGGCCAAAATGGGCAAAACACGGGCAAAACATGGGCAAAACACGGGCAAAACATGGGCAAAACACGGGCAAAACATGGGGGTTTTTGGGGAGATTTTGGGTGATTTTTGGCACAGGGGTTCCAGGAATTGGAGCTGGGTTGTGCTTGTTAAGGTGGAGCACTGCGCCGTGCTCAGCAACTGCCACCGGGTACAGCAGGGCAAAACACGGGCAAAACATGGGCAAAAATGGGGGGTTTTTTTGGGGAAATTTTGGGGGATTTGTGGCAGAGGGGTTCCAGGAATTGGAGCTGGGTTGTCCTTGGCAAGGTGGAGCACTACGCCGTGCTCAGCAACCGCCACCGGGTACGGCACGGGGAAAAACATGGCAAAACACGGGCAAAACACGGGCAAAACACGGGCAAAACATGGGCAAAATATGGGCAAAACACGGGCAAAACATGGGCAAAACATGGGCAAAACATGGGCAAAACATGGGCAAAACATGGGCAAAAATGGGGTTTTTTTGGGGAAATTTTGGGGGATTTTTGGCACAGGGGTTCCAGGAATTGGAGCTGGGTTGTGCTTGGCAATGTGGAGCACTGCACCGTGCTCAGCAACTGCCACCAGGTACGGCACGGGGGCAAAAATGGGCCAAAATGGGCAAAAATGGGGGTTTTGGGAAATTTTGGGGGATTTTTGGCAGAGGGGTTCCAGGAATTGGAACTGGGTTGTGCAATGTGGAGCACTGCACCGTGCTCAGCAACCACCACTGGGTACAGCCCCAGGAACTGGGGAAATCAGGGCTTGGAGGGGAAAAAATGGGGGAAATTTCGGGGTTTTTTGGGAAATTTTGAGGGATTTTTGGCAGAGGGGTTCCAGGAATTGGAGCTGGTTTGTGCTGGGTTGTGCTTGGCAAGGTGGAGCACTGCGCTGTGCTCAGCAACCACCACCGGGTACGGCACGGGGAAAACATGGGCAAAACATGGGGGTTTTGGGGAGATTTTGGGGGATTTTTGGCACAGGAGTTCCAGGAATTGGAGCTGGTTTGTGCCAGGGTGTGCAATGTGGAGCACTGCACCGTGCTCAGCAACCGCCACCGGGTGCAGCACGGGGCAAAACATGGCCCAAAATGGGCAAAACACAGGCCAACATGGGCAAAACATGGGGGTTTTGGGGGATTTTTGGCACAGGGGTTCCAGGAATTGGAGCTGGGTTGTGCTTGTTAAGGTAGAGCACTGCGCCGTGCTCAGCAACCGCCACCGGGTACGGCACGGCGGCAAAACACGGGCAAAACATGGGCAAAAATGGGGTTTTTTTGGGGAAATTTTGGGGGATTTTTGGCACAGGGGTTCCAGGAATTGGAGCTGGGTTGTGCTTGGCAATGTGGAGCACTGCACCGTGCTCAGCAACCGCCGCTGGGTACAGCCCCAGGAACTGGGGAAACCAGGGCTTGGAGGGGAAAAAATGGGGGAAATTTCAGGGTTTTTTGGGGAAATTTTGGGGGATTTTTGGCAGAGGGGTTCCAGGAATTGGAGCTGGGTTGTGCCAGGGTGTGCTTGGCAAGGTGGAGCACTGCGCTGTGCTCAGCAACCGCCACCGGGTAAAGCAGGGCTGGCAGGGAAAAAATGGGGGAAATTTCAGGGATTTTTGGGAAATTTTGGGGGATTTTTGGCAGAGAGGTTCCAGGAATTGGAGCTGGGTTGTACAAGGTGGAGCACTGCGCCGTGCTCAGCAACCACCACTGGGTACGGCCCCAAGGACCAGAGAAATCAGGGCTTGGAGGGGAAAAAATGGGGGAAAATGGGTATTTTTAGGGAAATTTTGGGGGATTTTTGGCACAGGAGTTCCAGGAATTGGAGCTGGGTTGTTCCAGGGTGTGCAATGTGGAGCACTGTGCCGTGCTCAGCAACCGGCACTGGGGAAATCAGGGCTTGCAGGGGAAAAAATGGGGGAAATTTTGGGGTTTTTTGGGAAATTTTGGGGGATTTTTGGCAGAGGGGTTCCAGGAATTGGAGCTGGGTTGTGCAATGTGGAGCACTGCGCTGTGCTCAGCAACCACCACCGGGTTCGGCCCCAAGGACCATAAAAAAAATGGGGCTTGGAGGGGAAAAAACGGGGTAAAATGGTTTGAGGAATTTTTTTGGGAATTTTCCAGAATTTTTTGAGATTTCTTGGACATTTTTTGTTGTTTTTTCTTTAATATATTGGGAATTTTGGGGAAAATTTGGGGGGATTTTGGAGGATTTTTTTTTTCCTTTTCCCCCTTCCTTTCCCCATCCTTTCAATTTTTCTCCTTTTTGCCCCTGTTTCCTCTTTCCCACTTTATTCCCCCTTTTCCCCTTCCCTTTTTCCCCTTTCCCCCATTTCCTTCTTTTCCCCTTCCTTCTTTCCCTTTTTCCCTCCTTTTCTGCCCCTTCCTCCCTTTTCTCTTTTCCTTTGGGATTTTTGGGGGATTTTTGGAGATCTTTTGGGAATTTTTGGGAATTTTTGGTAGATTTATTTGGGAATTTATTTGGGAATTTTGGGGGATTATTTCAGAATTATTTTTTAATTTTGGGGCATTTTTGTGGAAATGTTGGGGGATTTTGTTGTTGTTGTTGATTTTTTGGGGGATTTCTTGTGATTTTGGGGGGATTTTTTTAATTTTGGGGGGACTTTCTAATTTCGGGGGGATTTTTTTTGGGGGGGAGTTTTTGGTGGATCTGGGGATTTTTTTAATTTTTGGGGAGTTTTTGGTGGATTTTTGGGGACTTGGGGGTGAGGGGGTTGGGAGTTTTTGGGAATTGGAAAGAATGGGAATGGCAGAATTGCTGAGGTTTTTGTGGGATTCTTTATGTTTTAGATCCCAAAATAACTAGGAAATGGTCTTTAACTAAGAAAAAAAAAAACTGAGGAAAATGTTTTTAAATCCCAAGAAAAACAAGGAAAATATCCTTTGAATCACAGAAAAACCAAGAAAATGTTTTTCAAGTCCCAAAACCAAGAAGAAAACACCCATGGAAATAGTCTTTAAAATCCAAAGAAAATGCCCTTTAAATCCCAAAATCCATTGAAAATGTTTTTTTAAATCCTAAAAATCCAAGGATGTATTTTTTAAATCCCAAAAAACCCAAGTTAGTTCCACCTTTAAGACCCAATTTGGGCCATTTTAAAGTGACTTTTAACCATTTTTATGCTTAGAAAATGGCGGGGAAAAACCAAGGCATTCCAGCAGGTTTAAGAATTCTCATTTTATCCATAAATTAAGGAACTACCAGGATTTTTTTCCCTCAGGCCATCCTGCACCTGGACAGCCCCAAATCCGCGCGCTCCATGCACAGCTTCCTGCAGCAGTACCCTTATTCCATAGGAGAGCACACACTCACCTGCTCCTTGTCCTCCCACGGAGACATTCCTGAGGTGAAAATTCCGTATTTTCCACCATCCGGCTTTTTTATGGGCATGGGAGAATGTTCCTGCAAAGAGCTGCAGGGTGGGATTTCCCTCAGGGTTGGGATTTTCCCCCTCAGGGCCAAGATTTTCCCTCATGGTTGGAATTTTCCCTTAGGTTTGGGAACTTTTTCCCTCAGGGTTGGAATTTCCTCTCAGGCTTGGGATATTTTCCCTCAAGGATGGGATTTCCCTCAGGATTGGGATTTTCCCCTCAGGATTCAGGGTTTTTTCCCTTCAAGGATGGTATTTTTTCCCTCAGGATCATGATTTTTCCTTAGGGATTGGGATTTTTTTCCTTCAATGATGGGATTTTTTACTCAGGGTTGGGATTTTTCCCTCAGGATTGTGATTTTCCTGTCAGGGTTGGGATTTTTCTTTCAGGTCTGGGATTTCCCTCAGAGATTGGGATTTTTCCCTTCAAAGATGATATTTTTCCCTCAGGGTTGGGATTTTCCCCTCAGGATTGAGATTTCCCCCTCAGGTTGGGATTTTCCCCATCAGGTTTGGGATTTTTCTCTCAGAGTTGGAGTTCTTCCCTCAGAATTGGGATTTTCCCCTCAGGGGTTGGGATTTTCCTCTCAAGGTTGGGATTTTCTTCAAGGATGGAATTTTTCCCTCAGGGTTGGGATTTTTCCCTCAGGGTTTGGGATTTTTCCCTCAGGGTTTGGGATTTTTCCCTCAGGGTTTGGGATTTTTTCCCTTAGGGTTGGGATTTTTCCCTCAGGGTTTGGGATTTTTCCCTCAGGGTTTGGGATTTTTCCCTCAGGGTTTGGGATTTTTTCCCTTAGGGTTGGGATTTTCCCCTCACAGTTTGGGATTTCCTTCAAGGATGGAATTCCCCTCAGAGTTTGGGATTTTTTTCCCTCGAGGATAGGATTTCCCTCAGGATCGTGATTTTTCCCTCAGGGTTGGGATATTTTCTTCAGGGCCGGGATTTCACCCTCAGGGATTGGGATTTTTGTTTTTCAGGCAGAAACCGGGAAAAAGGAAGTGAAGAGAGAGGACGGGAGCAAAGGAAGGTACAGCCTGCAAGGATTTTTGGGAATTTTATCCATTTCTTTTCTCTCTTGGAATGTTCATCCACGATTAGGGATCGCTGAGCCTCCCTCCAGCTGTGTCCTGCTGCTCCTCCTTCCCAGTCCATGTCCTCCAGAGACAAAATATTTGGGATTCATTAAAAAAATCATGGAAAAATGGCGTGAAATCCCAATTTCTGTGGAGTTTTTTCCTTGTTTTTTTTTCCCCTGCTCAGGTCCTGGCTCCTCCTGTTGCTTTCATTCCATCCTGCAGCTCTTCCCTCTATCCCTGCCTCTGCAATGCCTTTTCCCAACTGCTGAATTCCCAGAAATTTTTAGGAATTTTTGTTAAATATGGCTTCGATCCCTTTTTCCTGTGATTCCAACTCGGATTTCTGGATGAGTTTTGTTGTCAAAACCCCCAAATTGTGTAAGGATCATTCTCAAATTTAAGGAATTCTGTTATGGAAAAGCTCTGTATTCCCAGATCTCGTTTCTTTCCTTATCATTCCATGAAACTGCTGAATTTTGGGAGCATTAATTCCCAAATTAATGGGAATCTCTTCCTCATAGCCACTTCTTGATTCCAGACTAATGGGATTTAAAATTAAAATTAAAATGTGACTTTTTCATTAATCCCAGCTCCTGGAAAGTTGGAAAATTGACATTTTTCCTGTTCCACACATTTTACACAAAATTATTTCATTTCATTTCATAGGGAGCAGAAAAGACCAGAATTATTAATTTAATTGTTAATTAGTGATTATTTCTAGGAAGCTTTAATTAATTAAACTCAGCTCCTGGACTCTGCCTTTCCCAGGCTGTGTTTTCCATGAATCCCAGGAGTTTTCCATGAATCCCAGTAGAAAACAAACTGAGCACAGCCAGAAATGTTGAATTGATGGGAAAATCCCTTTGGAGGATCCCACATCCCGCTCTCCTGGATAATCCTGATTTTTCCAGGTTTTGGAGCAGAAATTCCCTGCTGGAATTCTGCTGGAATGGGTGCACCAGGCCCAGCCATCCCTAATTCCAGCACTTCCCAAGCTCTTGCTGTGGGATTCTTTCCTTCAGTGAAGTCTCTGGAATTCCCTGGAAAGCTCCATCCTGTGGCACCTTGGGCTGTGTTATCCCAGAGGGTTCTCCATGGAAAACAGGGATTTTAAACCCAAATCCAATCCCAAATCCAGACCTGCTCTCTGGGGATTGGGAACTGCAGACAGAGCAAAGCTCCTCTAATGCTCCTATCCAGGAGCTGCCTTTTGGTGGGGTATTCCCAATTTTCCCTCTGTGGGATGGAAATTTTCTGAGACCTGAGGTCTCCAAAATGTGAATTATTCACCTCAAGTGCCGCCTTTTCCCGCAGAATTCCCAATCCCATTTCCTCATGCTCCAGGAAAACTCCCACCGGTGGCAGCCAGAGCTTTCTGAGACTTCTGGAATTCTCTCCCCGTGGTTTGATTTCTGTTTCTTTTAAATGCTTTTAGCTCTGGCTTGAAAAAAATTCCAGAGGGATCAGGAACAGTGCAAAAACCAGCTGGGAATCCATCAGGAGAGGCCAGGAAAGGCCAAATTCCCACCCCAAATGTCCCGGAGGAGATTCCAGCGGGACAACTGGAGATCCCTGAGTCGCAGGCAGGAGGAGCAGCAGTGAGGGAATCTCCTGCAGGGATGGATGTGGAGGGGTCGGATCCTGGAATTCCTGTGGATCCTGCTGGCAGCAAATCGCCCGGAGCGAGGTCGGAGGAGAAACCGGCGCCGCTTCCCGGAGCGGGGACGGACAAATCTCAGGATGAGCCGGAGCTGGAAATCCACAAGGAGGATGAGGAACCCTCTGCTCCCGCCTCGGAGCCTCTGGAATCATCCAGCAAGGCCATCCCAGCAGCTGGAGGAACGCCAGGAGCCGTCCCTGGAATGTCCCCGAGCTCGGAGGAGGCTCCCGCGGTGTCGCCCGGTGTCACCCAGCCCAGCACGGAGCCGCCTGCTCCGGAAAAAACTCCCGTTCCCGAGGCTGGGAAAAGCAGCCAGGAAACGTCCACGGAGAGGAAAGCTGTCCCAAAAACTCCGGATGCTCCAGGGAAAAAACTGGATGTGGCTGGAGCAGAGAGAGAGGCGACAGCGGAGGAATCCGTGCTCAAAATCGGGGAAAATCCGGGGAAGAGTGGGGGCAAGGCTGGGACAGAGCTGGAGAAAACACCTGGAAAAACATCATCCAAGGGTGGGGAGAACTCTGGGAATGCTGTTGGTGAGATGCACGGGGGAAGTTCGGTTAAAATCCCGCAAAGTAAAGGGATGGGAGCCGCAAAATCTGAGGAAAACCGCGCGGCAGCTCCGGTAAATCCCACTGTGTCCCTGAAGGAATCTTGCATTGGGAAAACGCTTTTGAAGGCAGTGGTGTCTGTCCCGGACATCCTGAAGCAGAAAATTCCCATCAGGATCACCGAGCCTTCCCTGGGAAGAGCTGGAGAGCAGAAAATCCCCCCCAAAGCGGGGCTGGAGAAGAAAATCCCACCCAAAACCGCGGCTCAGCCAGGAGCTGGGAACAGCCAGTGGAAAGGGAATGGAAATTCCGGAGTGGACGCACAGGGAGACGGTGGGAAGAGCTCATCCCAGCAGGAAAAGGATTCCCAGCTGGAATCTCGGGCAAGTTCAAAGCAGAGCCAGCCGGGAGAGAGCGGAACATCTGGCACGAAGGAAAATCCTGGTGGGAATCAGGTGAGGAGGGCAGGAATGCCCAGGTGTTCCCTGGGCTTCTCCCACCCTGGGTTTCTGGGATCATCCCTTTTCCATAAATCCTGGGGCCGCCCGAGGAGCTGCTGGGCAACCTGTTCCTTTTAGCTGCACCATGAGGGCGGAACTGGTTGGAAAATCCTATGGAAGTTGTTTGGGAAGGGAATCCAAACTGAATTCCTTGGAGCAGCTCCAAGTGGGAATAAAGCCCGTGTCCTCTGGGGAGGTGGAAAAGGGGCTCCTGAGCCAGGTGTCACCTGTTGGTGGCAAACACCTGGAGCCATGAAGACATCCCAGAGCAGCTCTTTGGTCCTAACAAAGCTGTGCTCGGTGAGGATTGGGATTTCCTGGGATTTCATGGAATTTTTTGTCCCATTTTGCAGGCTCCTGGTGGGGGCGGTGCTGCAGCTTGGAAAAGCGGCACTGGCAGCACTGGGAAACAGAAGGAGGTAAGGATGGAAAACCGTGGGATTAAAAGGATGGAGTGTATGGAAATGGGGACTTCTGATGTTCCAGGGGGTGGGATTGGGTGGGATTTAAGGTCTTCTCCAACCCAAACCATTCCAGGATTCCAGGATGTTCCTGCTCTCAGGAATCTTTCCCCTCTTCCCAAAATGAGATCGCCAAATTCCTGCCCTTTTTCCTTCTGGTGTCCATGGATCCCACAGGCTCTGGGGTGCTGGAATCCCTTTGGATCCATTCCCTTTGGATCCATTCCCTTTGGATCTCTCCAGTCCCTATTTCCAGGCTCATGGAGCTGGGGCCACCAGGAAACCCCATCCCCAAATCCCAGTTTCCCAGTTTGTGTTAAATATCCATGAAAATGTGAGGGTAGGATGGAATATTTTGGCAGAAAAAGTAACAAAAATTCAGAATTCTCCATGGAAGAAATCAGAGGCATCATTTGGGGTGGGGCACCCGTTCCTTTGGAGCCAGAACTTCGAATTGGCAGGAATTTCATCTGTTGAACTTTATCCACTGGATTTTATCCACTAAATTTTGTCCCTTCAGTTTTATCCATTGGCCTTTCTCCACTGAATTTCATCCATTGATTTTTTTCCATTGAATTTCATCCACTGAATTTTATCCATTGGATTTTATCTGTTGAACTTTATCCACTGAATTTTATCCACTAAATTTTGGCCCTTCAGTTTTATCCACTGAATTTTATGTACTATATTTTATCCCTTCAATTTTATCCTTTGGCCTTTCTCCACTGAATTTCATCCGTTGAATTTTGTCCCTTGAACTTCATCCGCTGGATTTTATCCACTTAATTTTTTCCCTTTAATTTTATCCACTGAATTTTATCAGTTGTATTTTATCCGCTGAATTTCGTCCATTGACCTTTATCCCACTGGATTTTATCCATTGATTTTTATCCACCGAATTTCATCCATTGAATTTTACCCATGGAATTTTTATCCCCTATTGATCCACTGCGATTTTTCCAAAGGACTTTGGCTTCCTGAACTAAACCTGAGTTAATTTAAATTAATTATTCAGAAATGTTGAATTTCTGAGTCATTAAGTTAACTCAGGTTTAAGCTGCAATTTAAGCCCTGACCACTTCTTTTTTTTTTCCACTCAAATAAAATTTGGGGTTATTTTTTGGATCCAACATGTGTGGACGTTCCTCCTGGAGATGACAGTTAAATATTCCATTCCCAGGAGGAAGAGCTCTTCCATTTAACCTGGACGAGTTTGTCACAGTGGACGAGGTTAAACCTGAGTTAATTTAAATTAATGACTCAGAAATGTTGAATTTCTGAGTCATTAATTTAAATTAACTCAGGTTTAAGGTTTAAGCTGCAATTTAAGCCCTGCAATTTAAGCACTTTTTTTTTTTTTTCCCCACTCAAATTAAATTTGGGGTTAGTTTTTGGATCCAACATGTGTGGATGTTCCTCCTGGAGATGACAGTTAACTATTCCATTCCCAGGAGGAAGAGCTCTTCCCGTTTAACCTGGACGAGTTCGTCACGGTGGACGAGGTGCTGGAGGAAGCCGAGTCTCCGGTGATGCCGCGGCGGAACCCCCCGAGGGGGAAGAGAAAAGAAGCCCCCAAAGCCAACCCTTCGGAGCCGGCGCCCAAGAAGAGGAAAGGGAAGAGTTGCGGAGCCGAAGGTGAGCTGTCCTTTGTCACCTTGGATGAGATCGGGGAGGAGGAGGAGGACGCCCCGGTGCCGCTGCCGGGCGTCGACCCCCAGGGCCTGGTGGTGGTGGATGAGGTGGTGGAAGAGGAGGAGCTGTCGGAAGCGGTGAAGGATCCGCAGGCGCTGCTGACGCTGGATGAGATCTCGGAGCAGGAGGAGCCGGGCTCCCACGGGAATGGGCCCCGGGCGGAATTTGAGGAGCGGGATCTGAAGGCCGAGCCCTTGGTGACCGTGGATGAGATTGGGGAGGTGGAGGAGCTGCCCCTCAACGAGCCCGCGGAGCTGAGCGCCGCCGAGGAGGGGAAAACCAATCCCGGGGATGGCGCGGCCTCCCAGGTGCCCGATGATCCCAACGCCTTGGTGACCGTGGATGAGATCCAGGAGGACAACGAGGACAATCCTCTGGTGACTCTGGATGAGGTTAACGAGGATGAGGATGATTTCCTGGCCGACTTCAACCACCTCAAAGAGGAACTAAACTTTGTTACAGTCGACGAAGTCGGCGATGAGGAAGAAGAAAACACTTTCCCAGGGAAGAACCCGCCCGAGGATGAAGATGACGAAGATATTGTTGCTGTTGCAGGACCAGAAGAAATGGGAATTCTAGGAGATACAAATCCAGAGGATGAAATGGCTGAAATCTCCAAGCCAAAAGGTGAGGAACATCAAGGCCGGCTTGGACGAGGCTTGGAGCCAGCTGGGCTGGTGGAAGGTGTCCCTGTCCATGTCTCTTAGGTGCCTCCCGAGCCAAACCATTCCATGGTTCCATTCCATCGCTCCATGGTTCTGTTCCATGATTCCATTCCGTCACTCCATGATTCCATGATTCCATCCCAACATGCATTTCTGTCTCCAGCAGCTCAGCTGGGATCAGAAGATGCAGAACCAAAGTCTCAGCCGAAGAAAACGACTTTTCCAGGTGTCCCCAAGACGCAGAGCACTCCCAAAGGTAAATCCAAAGGAATCCCCTGAAATGCTCCAGGTTTTCCTGGCTGGAAGATTCTGTCCTGCCCGTTTGAAAACTCCTCCTGTGCCTCACCACCACAGAGAACCTCAAAGGCAGGGCCCAGAATCCATGGTTTTTCTTGGCTCTTCCAAATCCACATTTAACTAGTTGGTTAAACTGAGAAGCCTCTCATGGAGAGTTTTTTTCTGGAGATTTCCAAATCCAGGTGGAATTATGGATTATTAGTGGGGTGCAGTGTGGTGTCTCCTGAGGGTTCCCATCCTCTGGCGAGTTTTATTCCCAACATTCAGTGTCTGGAAAGGAGGGAATTGCTGCCAGGGCTGTGAAATGAGGGTGTAGGGATGTAGTGAATTCCATGAGGTCAGGAATTGTTCCAGCTTCCATGGGGTCAGTCCTTCAGGAACTGCTCCAACATGAGTCACTTCCATGGAGTCTTTCCTTCAGGAGCTGCTCTAGTGTGGGTCCCTTTTTCCATGGGATCAATCCTTCAGGAGCTGCTCCAGCTTCTGTGGGGTCAGTCCTTCAGGAACTTCCTGAATTTCCATGGAATCAGTCCTTCAGGAACTGCTCCCGCTTCCATGGGGTCAGTCCTTCAGGAACTGCTCCAGCTTCTGTGGGGTCAGTCCTTCAGGAGCTTCCTGAATTTCCATGGAATCAGTCCTTCAGGAACTGCTCCCGCTTCCATGGGGTCAGTTCTTCAGGAACTGCTCCAGCACAGGTCACTTCTCCATGGAGTCTTTCCTTCAGGAACTGCTCCAGTGTGGGTCATTCTTCCATGGGATCAATCAATCCTTCAGGAACAGGCTGCTCCAACATGGGTCACTTTTCCATGGGCTCAGTTCTTCAGGAACTGGTCCAACTTCCATGGGGTCAGTGCTTCAGGAATTGTTCCAATTTCTGTGGGCTCAGTTCTTCAGGAACTGGTCCAACTTCCATGGGGTCAGTCCTTCAGGAGCTGCTCCAACATGAGTCACTTTTCCATGGAGTCTTTCCTTCAGGAATTGTTCCAACTTCCATGGGGTCAATCCTTCAGGAACAGGCTGCTCCAACGTGGATCACTTTTCCATGGGATCAGTTCTTCAGGAACTGCTCCAACTTCCATGGGGTCAGTTTTTCAGGAACTGCTTCAGTGTGGGTCACTCTTCCCTGGGATTAATCCTTCGGGAAGGTGGGTCACTTTTCCATGGGGCCAGTCCTTCAGGAATAGGTTGCTCCAACATGGGTCACTTTTCCATGGGGCCAGTCCTTCAGGAACTGCTCCAACTTCCATGAGATTGGTTGCTTTATTCCCAGAAGATGGTGTGTATATGGGAACTGGAGATGACCTGTGGATTGAAGTGGGGCAAGGACCAGCTTGGGTGAAAAACCTGATTTTTTTGGAATGTTAAATATCTGCAATTTCCCCCTGAGGAATCACAGATGATTCCCCAGATTTGGCTAAAGGAAAGGTGGGGTTGGAATATTTCTGGGCGCTGTGTGTGATGACTGTGGTGTATCCTCAGCTCTGGACATCCTGGTCCCAAAGGCCGGATTCTTCTGCCAGATTTGCTCCCTCTTCTACGCCGACGAACCCTCCATGATCAACCACTGCAGGACCCCCCTGCACCGGCAGAACATGGAGGTACCACCAGAAAAACGGGAATATCCCCCCAAATCCTTGGATTCAGGGGTGCCGAGAATTCCCTGGGAGTTCACGTGTGATGGAGTTTGGGAATGCAGTGGGAATATGGAATATTTTTATTCCATGCCCAGATTGTGGGGGATCCTGCCCCCTGAGATTTGGCCACGTTCCCCTCAGGAGCTTCCCATGTGGAATTTGGGGGTTTTTATGGGACAAATCCCACCTTGGCCGTGGGAGGAGCTGATTAAACCTGGCCCGGGTGTTCCTGGCCCAGGTTTTAGGGGATAATCCCGGAATATCCCTGCAGCACCATCTCTTCTCCCTTCTCCACAGAAATTCATGGCCAAGCAGCAGGAAAGCGGCGGGGAGGAGCCGAGCTCCAGGTGATGGAGCTTCCCAGGAACCACACTTCGGGGCCAGTCAGTTCTGTGTGTTCGGATTTCCTTTGTCATTCGAGGGCGGGAAGGAGCATCCACGGTGTAAAAAATCGGAGCTGGGAACAGACCAAACCCAAAGCAGCAGGAGAGGGTTGGAATTGTGTCTCCGATCATCCGACGTGGGAGAGACTGTTCCAGGTGTCTCCAGGAAATAAATGTTCTTACTGTATAGTTACCCCAGGGCTCGAGTTTGGGGTCATTCCTTGGGGTTTGGTGACTCTGGGTGACACTGGCGATCCAGGGGATCCATGGAGAGAGTCAAGGGAAGGGTCTGGAGCTCCAGGAGCAGCTGAGGGAGCTGGGAGAGGGGCTCAGCCTGGAGAAAAGGGGGACTGGGGGGACCTTCTGGCTCTGCACAACTCCCTGGATTCTTGGAGCCAGGAGTTGGGATCTGGTCCCAGGGAACGGCCTCAGGCTGGGCCAGGTGGGATATTGGGGAAATTCCTCCTTGGAAAGGGCTGTCCGGCCCTGGCAGGGGTGGAGTGCCCATCCCTGGGGGGATTTACCAGCCCTGGGCATGTGGCACTTGGGGACACGGTCAGTGGTGGCCTTGGCAAGCCCAGACTCGATGGTCTCAGAGGGTTTTTCCCAACCCAAACAATTCCATGAGTCCCTGCCCTGCACCCAACCTGCCCCCAGCCCCCTCAGTTCCATGGTGACGTTCCAAACTTGGGGACACCTCTGGGACACTGAACCCCTCCTGGGGCTCATTAGCAGCCAACAGAGCCGCAGGAATTCAGGAATTCCTTTAATTCCTTTAATTCCTTTGCTCGTGGACGGGCACCCCCTGCCTTTTTGGGGAGCACATGGGAACCATTTCTCCCCGTGGATTTCAGCCAGGTGAGTCAGAAGGGGAAACTCGGATTAAACTCCCTGGGAATGCTGAACTTCTCGAAGGTGGGATCAGTGCCAGGCTCCTTGTGGGAAGGGCCCTGGAGGTCAGGACGGGCAGGGCTGGAGGGCGCTGACCCCGGCACCGATGGCGGCGGTGGGGATGTGCCCCCTGCTCTGTTGGCTGACCCTGGGCACAGCTCCTGGTCAAGAAAGTCTTTCCCACTGGGACATCTCTTGGTTGGTGAAGTCTTCCCGCTGGGACAGAGTTTCGTGTCCCTTGACATTCCCATGACACTGCTCTGGGGGTCTCTCGGTGTCCCCTTGGCACGGGTCTCTTCATCAGTGAATGCTTCCATCTGGGACATCTCGTGGTTGATGAATTCTTCCATCTGGGACATCTCCTGGTGGATTAAGTCCTCCCATTGGGACAGAGTTTTGTATCCATTGACTTTCCCTTGGTGCCGTTCTTGGTGTCTCTTGGCTTTTCCTTGGCATGGGTCTTGGTTGATGGATTCTTCCTTTTGGGACATCTTGTGGTTGCTGAATTTTTCCATGTGGGATGTCTCATGGTTGATGGATCCTTCTGTTTGGGACATCTCTTTGTTGGTGAATTCTTCCATGTGAGGCATCTTGTGGTTGATGGATTCCTCCATTTGGGACATCTCCTGGTTGATGGATCCTTCCATTTGGGACATCTCATGATTGATTAATTCTTCCATGTGAGGCATCCTGTGGTTGATGGATTCCTCCATTTGGGACATCTGGTGGATTAAGTCTTCCCATTGGGGCAGAGTTTTGTATCCCTTGACGTTCCCTTGGCGCCATTCTTGGTGTCTCCTGGCTTTTCCTTGGCACAGCTCTTGGTCAATGAAGTTTTCCATATGGGACATCCCTTGGTTGAAGAGTTCTTCCATTTGGGACATCTCCTGGTTGATCATATCTTCCCATTGGGACACACTTTTGTATCCGATGGCTTCCCCTTGGCACCGCTCTCGGGATCCATTGGCTTCCCCTTGGCACCGCTCTCGGGATCCACTGGCTTCCCCTTGGCACCACTCTTGGGACCCATTGGCTTCCCCTTGGCACCGCTCTTGGGATCCATTGGCTTCCCCTTGGCACTGCTCTTGGTTGGTGAGTTCCTCCCATTGGGACGGATCCTCGCATCCGCTGCCTTGCCCTTGGCACAGTTCCTGGTCTCCCTTGGCTTTCTCCTGGCACAGCTCCTGGTCGATGAATTCCTCCATGTGGGACATCTCCTGGGTGATGAAGTCCAGCCACCAGGACAGATCTTTGTATCCATGGGCCGTGTCCTGGCTCATCCCTTGGGGACACCCTCGGGATCCCCGTGGATCTCTGGGACAGCAGAATTCCCACTGCTCCTGCTCCATGGCCAACATCCCCTGTCCCTCCTGGGACCGGAGCCTCCACAGCCCCTGGGCCGGCCGGGAGTTGGGATTTGGATTCTCCAGAGGGATCCGGGACCTGCTGCTCCTGGAAATGGGCCTGAACCCTTTGGGCTCACGCTGGGATCTGGGCACGGCACCGCTCCGGTGTCACAACGGGACATCCCAGCACCCCAGCAACCACAGGGCCCTCTGGAACCCTCTGGAACCTTCTGGAACCTTCTGGAGCTGCAGCCCTGGCCACGCACAACACCCGGGTGCGCAGGGGGGGTTGTCCCCCCCGGGTGACACCGGAAGGACACTGGGGGCACCCAGAGACACCTGGAGAAGTGGCACCGTGAGAACGTGAGAGGTTCATGCAGGCTGTGTGAGATCCCAGACCGGAGCACAGCCTGGGAGAGGCTCCTTGGGACCATGGCTGCGGGAAGGACTCAGGGACACGGGGACAGTGACACGGGCGGGGCAGGACTGTCCCAGCACTGCTCGGTGGCTTCGACCCCGCTCTGGTGCGGGAAGCCAGAGCAGCTTCCCGCTAGGATTCCTGCCGGGAGAAGCCACGCCGCCTTTAAGGCATCTCCGAGCGGGATCTGGCAGCCGCGGGCGCTGCACCAGGAAATTCCTGACATCCCGGGAAGTGCTGAGCCAGCGCGAATCGGGGCCGGGAACGGCGCCAGGAGCGGGGCCGGGAATTCTGCAAACCTCGAAAGAGCCGTCACGGGGCCTGAGGCACGGCCAGAGCCTCGACAGAAGGCAGGAGCTGCCTCAGCCCGGGACAAAACCCGTCCCAGCGTCCAGCCCTGGGAATCGGGCTCGGAATGCTCCGTCCCCGCTGTCCCCGCTGTCCCGGGATGGCGAAGGAGCATCCCCGGGTGAGGGACCCAGAGGATCCCGGAGCAGTGCACAGAGCCAGAAGGGCCTGTCCCCCTCCCTCCTCAGCCCCGCAGGGCTCTGGGACACCCCCAGGGACAGCACAGGGATGAGGACAAGGGACAGGGATGGCCCCAGCCCTGCCCGCTCCGCGCCCGCGGGAAATCCCAATAAAAGAAGGGAAAGTCAAGCCAGGAAAGTCAAGCCAGGAAAGTCGAGCCAGGAAAGTTCTTTCGGGGTGGAAAACGAGCGCGTGTGAGACCCCGCGCAGGGCGGGGGGACAGGCAGGACCCAGACCCGGACCCGCGCCCCGAGTCCCACCCGGGGCACCCCCGAGGGCCGGGGACCGCCCCGAGCCGCCGGGTTCGGCCCCGCTCCGCCCGCACCGGCGGCTCCGGGACCTCCCGGGTCCCCGGGCTCGGCCGGCGCCGCCGCCGCTGCGGCGGGAGGAGCCCCCGCGGACCCCCGGGCCACGCCCCGAGCGACGATGGGACACTGGGGACACTGCGGGGGGCTGGGGACAGCGGGGATACAGTGAGGGGACAGCGGGACACGGCGATGGGACAGCGGGGACACGGTGGGGACGCGGCAGGGACACAGGTCAAGGCCCGCCGGTGAGCGGGCGGGACCCGGTGTGCCCCGTTCGAGGGGTCCGGCGACTGGGAGAGCGGAACGGGGCCGTTTAACGGGGCGGGGCGGGCAGGGCACGGCCGGGGGTCCCGGGCAGGGGCGGGCAGGAGGCGGGCGGGGGTCGCGGCCGGGCGGGAGGGGGCGGAGGGCGGGGAGGGGCCGGGACCGGGACCAGGAGCGGGGCAGGGACCGGCAGGAGCGGGCAGGGACCGGCAGGGCCGCGGCCATGCCGGGGTCGCCCCTCGCTCCGCTGCTGCTGCTGCTGCTCCTGCTGGGCCCCCCGGCGCCCCCCGCCCGCGCCGCGCCCCCCCAGCCCGGCCGGCCCCGCGGCACCGGGGTGGGCACGGCCAGCGGCACCCCCAAAGCCAGCGGGGTGACCCCAACCAGGGGCACCGCGACCGGAGCCCCCAAAGCCAGCGGGGTGACCCCAACGAGGGGCACCGCGACCGGAGCCCCCAAAGCCAGCGGGGTGACCCCAACGAGGGGCACCCCTAAAGCCAGCGGGGTGACCCCAACGAGGGGCACCGCGACCGGAGCCCCCAAAGCCAGCGGGGTGACCCCAACGAGGGGCACCGCGACCGGAGCCCCCAAAGCCAGCGGGGTGACCCCAACGAGGGGCACCGCGACCGGAGCCCCCAAAGCCAGCGGGGTGACCCCAACGAGGGGCACCGCGACCGGAGCCCCCAAAGCCAGCGGGGTGACCCCAACGAGGGGCACCCCCAAAGCCAGCGGGGTGACCCCCACGAAGGGCACCCCTAAAGCCAGCGGGGTGACCCCAACGAGGGGCACCGCCAAGGGATCCCCTAAAGGCAGCGAGACGCCGCCCTGGAAAGGCACCACGGCGGGACCCCCTAAAGGCAGCGGGGCGCCCCCTCCGAAGGGCACCACGGCCGCCCCCTCGAGGAGCAGCACCACGACGGGACCCCCGAAGGGCAGCACGGCCCCCCCGGTGCGGCACAGCGCGACCCCCGCCAGCCCCGGGGAGCCCGCGGGCACAGGTAGGACCGGCAGGGGACGGGCTGTGAAGGACGGAGCCTGCAAAGGGGGTTCACGGGGGAAAAGGGGGTGCCAGGCCGTTCCCGTGTCCCCTCGCAGCCCCGGCGCCCACGGTGAGCAAGGTGGCGGTGAGGAGGAGGAAGGTGCTGAGGAAGAAGGTGGTGAAGAAGAAGGTGCTGAGGAAGAAGCCGGAGGCTCCGGCCGCGCCGCAGGAGCCCGGTACGTGCGCTGGGTGCGGGTGGCCCGGGCGTTGTCACCTGCACACGGGGCTGGCCGTGTCCTGGGGGCACCTGGGGGGCACCTGGGGCTGGGGGTGTTGAGCCCAGGCTGGCACGGTCCCCATGGCACAGCTCGGTGGGGACACAGGGTGGGGACAGCCCCGGCCGTTCGGGGGTCGCTGTGCGAGCGCTGTCCCCGCTGTGTCCCCAGCCTGTCCCCCCCTGGG